ATAAGACTGTGAATCAAATGCCTGTCATTTCAAAGGTCCCGATAGTGTTGATTAGATGAAAGCACTTTGCAAATCTGACATCAAAAACATCTTAAGCTCCTTGGCAAGGTCTGCCAACGCTCCCCACCGATAGATCAGAGCATGTATCATTAATGAAAAAAAAAGAAACTTTAAAAAAGAATATCACCAAGAAAAGAGGTTTGCCAGAGCTTCTATGGCATGTTGACAGTGAGGCCCTCACCTTTTTTTTTTTTTTTTTTCTTTTCCCCATAAGCAGGTCCTTATGGCCCTGGCTCCATTTCCATTTTGGGGAGCATCAGTCCGGTTCCTATTCCACCGGCAAGTCCGAACAAAGTATTAGGCCCTCACCTGCATCTTTCCATGCCTACTGTTCCTACTGTTTTGCTGGTCGTTTCCCTCACCGATGCAACACCTTTCGTCAGGATCCGGGTGACCCCAATCCAGCGATCGCTAGCCATAACATAGCCAATGCAGCCTTGATCAGGGAGGTTAAGAAGTTCTTCATGTATTGTTAGTAGTACAACCCTACTAGGCTACTACATTCAAAAGGTCCAGTCTAATCCAGACCTAGTGCTAGTCCCCTACCTACCTTCGCGTTCGCATCAAGACAAAAGTGTGAGAAGTCACCAACATCCTGGCCCAACCTGTAACCCAATCTGTCCGTTCGCCTTGCTATCCATCTCTCCCACTTTTCACAACATCTGTCTATTCATCTATCTGTCCATCTCTTTGTCCTGTTCAATTCAAAAGCCTACTGGAGGCAAGGACAAAAAGAAAGGGCGAAACAGTGGTGACTCTCTTCCATTCACTCCATCTGACATGATGTTGCACAAAAGATAGATAAGAGCATACCTCTGCTGCCTGCTGAAAGAGGAAGCTTGTTTGCTCCATGCCACTGACCTGCATTATCCAAAAAATCTGAGGTTATTCAAAATGCTTTGTGACAACAAGACGTAGTGCATTCAGCATTTGAGGCTATAATATTACGAACTTCGCGTTAGCGCCTTCTCTTCGATCCTTTGATAGGGTCCAGTCCCACGGGTAATGGAAGTGGAAAAATGAAATACTTCAAAACCTTAGCAGCACTATTAAATTTGAGTTTTCGACCTAGTGTGGCCATGGCGGAATATTGTATCATATATTGAATACGACGCAGCTTGGTACGATTGTGAGTGGAATCTGCTGACAACAAAATGGTCCACTTCTCTACAGGTTATTTATTTATTTATTAAATTATTTATTTATTTATTAAATTATTTATTTATTTATTTATTTATTTATTTATTAAATTATTTATTTATTTATTTATTTATTTATCTATTTATTTATTTATTGCATTTTATATTTAACAGGTCCTTATGGTCCTGGCTCCATATCCATTCTGGGGAACGTCAGCCCGGTTCCTATTCCCCTGGCAAGTAAAAAAAAACGGATTACATAATATTACCCACTCAACGCTTCCTTCCGTCTGGCCGAAGGACCCTTGATCACCAATGATTGCTCCTGCTAAGGAGGATTGGCTGTCAGCTCGCCCTGACCATTTGTTCCTCTCAGGCTTCTATTTAGAGCCTGTCGAACGAGTCCCTGTAATACGAGAACAGTGGGGGGGTCGGCTCTGTGTTCTGTTGCTTGTCCTTGTCTTTCCCTGTGTGTCCGGTCCTCTTTTTGTTGATCACCGTTCAGAACCTTCTGCCAGGTCTCCCGGCATGTACCCTCATGGTCTTCATGATTCTGCCTGGTGCCATTTCTTCCACCTCCGTCTATTGTCTACTAGCGTTGCCACCTTGCCTTTTAGCAACCAGTTCCTTATGAAAGTCTGTTTCTTGCTTGCTTGTCTTTCTGGTCTGTGTCTCGTAGAGTTTGCTATTCTCCACCATCTGCTCCTGATTTCCGTCTCTGCCATGCTCAGCACTAGTGACCACATTTCTTCTCTTGCCACCTCTGTTCCCTCAATTGTCTGAGTGCATCTGCGTTTCCATATCACCCACAATGCCAGCATCCTGAGTAGGGTGAACCATGCTTCCCTGCTGCCTGTGATGTTGCTGGGGATGTTAGTTGGAAGTAGGATAGAGATAGGGGGGATGTTTGGGTGGGGGGCAGCGAACAGGATCGACCATAGCTCACGGATCTTCTTCCATCCAGATTGCTTCAGGGCAGACGAGGAGGCAGCGGGGGATGTCGTCGGGTGATTCGTTGCTGCACATTGAGCAGCATGCCGAGCTATCAGGATCAGAATGTTACCTTCTCTCGGTTAACCATTGGTTGACTGGCAGGGCTGCATGTGCTATTAGCCATTGCATACTTCGGATTCTTCTTGGTCTGATGAGAAGGTATTTGGTCCATGTGATGGTGATGGGGGTCGTGGTGTCTAAAAAAAAAAAAATGGACCACTTCTCGATTTATGCGTGTCATCCTTGAAAGCACAGGGGCCATGCTAATCTTCTTTCTCTCTGTATCGTTCCAGTTTTAACGAATGTCCCGAAGGACAGGGGTCGTGGTATCTAGGTTCAGTATGGTTCTCCATTTCTCTGCCAGCCTTGGGTTCGGGTCCCTGGTTCGTAGTCTGAGGTTATACCCGAACTTTACGTCGTATTCTGTTATCCTTCTCGATTTACTGGCGGCGCCCAGATCCCAGATCCATTCCTTTGGGTCGAATTCCAACTCTGAGTTCCGGCTGGAATATTAACCAGGGTGTCTTGTGAGAGACTCTAACCTTCCTGAGAAGGTAGGTTTCTATTTGTTCATTTTGTGGTGTTTGTTTAGGATCCCTAGTTCATATAGGCCGTGTTTGATGATGGGGTAGGATACGAACTTGGCCTGGTAGTTAATTGAGTCCAGTTTTGACACAAAACGGTAGGCTTTTGTTGCATACTGTAACGGTGAAGACCAGAACAAGAACCGACCTCTCAATACAAAGTACAAGATAGCGTAGCGGAAGACTTAGATACCAATGATCCGAACAATCAATATTGCAATGCAGCGCTGAACATACATCATCATCATCGTTCCATGGTGTGAAAGGGGTCTGGCGCTTCACACAGGAAGACTGCGCCAGCCCCAACCATACACAGACGAAGGAGATGGGGGTTAGACGAAGAAGAGGGGAAGATGGGGAATGTCGTCAACACCAAGTCTTCGGCACAGGCCC